TGGCTACAATCTGGGCAGAGAGCTGACATCCCTAACGCTCCTCACCAGCTCCTAACAAAATCCCTGAGGAGTTTGGCCTGTGACCCATCCAGGCTCACTGAGTGCAGGACCCTCCTCCTCGCTTCTCCCCAGTGCTAGGCACTGATTCAGGCACCCAGCCCTGGAGAAGGGGCTCCCTGATCATGCATACCCCAACCCCCAAATGCCACACATCCCGCCCAGCGGTCCCCAATCTTCGGCATGCCCAGGCTGGGATGTCCATGAGCTACAGGACAGAGCTTTCACCTTCTTAGTGTCACTCCCTCTGTCCCCTCTCCATGCCCACGTCCACTGCCTTAGTGAAGACCCTCCCCTCTCTTTCCTGGCAGCCTGGTATCACGTGAAGTTCTATGGCCTAATGTGTGGGCTCTGCCACCAGACATCCCAAGTTTACCTTCTGGTGCCACCACTCTTAGCTGTGTGTGACAGTTCTAAAACATGTCCATCAATTACTTGGCACTCTGCCAATTGAGAAGTGGGGTCTGTCGTCTCTCCTTGAAGCTAAGCTAGTCTTATAGAGTATGGTGACATTAGGGTATGGCAGAAGTGTTGTGATGTGACTTCCAGGGCTAGGTCTTAAGGACAATTCAGCTCCCTTCAAGTTCTCCAGGCACACTCACCTTTGGAGTCCTGAGATGACACGGAAACAGTGCAAGGCCGCCATGTTGTGAGGAAGCCCGGACTATGTGTAGGTGCCTGGCCAACTGTCCCAGACAAGGTTTATGCCAACAGCCAGCATCAAGGGTAGACAGTGAGGGAGGTTGCATGTAGAGAGAAATGGATGAGCCAGGGGTTCCTGCCAGGGATGCTGGGAGCTTGTCAATCAGGACCCACTAACAGGTGGAACCCTGACTGGCCCTAAATCTGGCTGACAGGTCCAGAAACTCAATGTCATCGGGGTCTCCAGAGATGGATGGACTCAGGAGGCCAGGCCCTCTTACTCCCTGGGCTCATAATAATGAGAGACACTGGCTCTAGGGGCTTTCCCCCAGCTCTTAAGCTAGCGCACTCATCCCTATGGGCTCTAGCCAAGAAAAAGTGCTCTCGGGGTCATTGGGTTGGCAGGGGTCAGTGGCCTGGACTATTAAACCACACTAGCTCTCTAATCTGTTTCCTTTACTTCTTTGTTTATTATTTAGCTCTCTAACCAGTAGAGTGTGAGCTCCATGAAGGCAAGAGCTCACAGGAGTTTATGTGTGTTGTGATTTGCATCTCCAGCATTTACAACAGTGCCCGGCACATAGTAGGTGCTCAATAAATATCCCCTGAATAAGTAAATGAATGGAGGGATGGATGGTGTGTCCATCGCTGTGAGGCCAGACCAGTTACAGACTAGGCACTGATCCTCCCTCTGTGAGATGGGTGCTATGATGGGGCCTACCTGTCAGGGGTGCTGGTGGGTGACTTGAGAGAATAGACTAGTGCTCATGCCTCATGTGTCACTAACACTGAAGTGAGGGTTACTGGGATTGTTTCCATGATCAGTTGTCACCAGGCCACTGGTTGAGTCCCCTTTGACTAGAAGACATATTCATGCTTTCTGATGTCCCTGGCCCAGGCTCCATGAGAACTCCATGGGTATCTGACCCTCCAAGCAGATGAAAACCTTCTTGGGGCTCCTATGGCCCCCCGTGTGTACCCTAATCCTAGCTCCAGCACACTGAACACTTGTTGGTCTGTGACATTCCAGGGTTTGGGGACCAGGCCTCACCCCCTGCATCCCAGGTCTAAGCCCACTGCTGCCTGGCGCTGGGAAATGGATGATGAGGAGACTGAGATGCTCAGAGCTTCCTCTGAGGTCACCCAGTACCCTCCCATTGGTCAGCCTTTGACCTGAAACACCACAGCTCCCCTCCATCACTCCATAAGGATTACTGTTCTGTGACAGCCAAGATGGTGGGTCACAGGGCCAGTTTCTTCTCACTTCCCCTTTGGGTTGAATTCCACAGGCTGAAAAGTAAGGCACAATATTCTAGATGGAGGGGAAGCCCCAGTGCTGTGGAAGTGCCCACATATTTCCAGAGAGCATGGGGTGCGGGAGGGTGGGGCGAAGTGGCATGCTGGTGGGTGCTGGATCTTGGTCCGGAGGTTTCAAATGGGGTTCTATAGGACTTGTCTTGCTAAGGGAACATGTCCCGATTTACCAAACCACCATCAATTTGTTTTTCATCTGGGGCTGTCCCGACGAGAGCTGCTGTGAACGTTCCTGTGCACGACTCTCGGTAAACACATGGGCTCATCTCTGCTGGAACTCTACCCAGGAGTTGAATTCCTGGGTCGGGGTAGGATGATATGCTCAGCTTCAGTAGACACGGCCAGTTCCCCAAAGTAGTTGTTATAAATTACATCCTCACCCGTGACTCAGAGCTCCAGTTGCTCCGTATCCTTGCCAACATTTGATACTGAAAGTCTTTCTCATTTTGGTCTTGGTGGGTATACAGGGATATCAAATTGTGGCTTTAACTCACATTTTCTGATGACTAATGTAGTTGAGCACTTTTCATCTGTGTATTGCCTACTTATATATCCTCTGTTTTACGAAGTGCTGAAGTCTTTTGCTAATTTTTCTAATTGATTTTGTAATATTTACTGATTTTTCTTATCGATAAATAGGAGTACTTCATATATTCTGCACGTTAGCCCTTTGATGATTACACAATTTGCAATATCTTTTCCCAAATATATTTATTTTATGGACCACTGTTACCATAACTACAAAACCAATATCACACGTCATAGATAGAAGGTAACTGTAAAATAAATAAGACAATATTATTACATTCTGGCTAAATTTCTTGTGGCTGGCAGCATGGTTAGAGTCCTGATCCCTGTTAAGAGATTAGCAAGTGAAAAAGGGTGTGAAAGACATCCCAGGGCCACATGGAGACGTTCTCCTTGATGTCTTCAGAAGGCTGGAGAGAACCAGAAAAGAAATAACCTTCTCATTCTGCAACCTCCTGTTCATTGTCGCGCGCACACACACACACACACACACACACACACACACACCTGTACCCTTTGTCCTTGAACCTCCCATAATTATGTCATCTGCCACTCACTGTGTGAGCTCTACACTTTGGGAAACACAACTATAAGTGATGGGGATGCATGAGGGTTTTACCTAGGAGTTGACGTAAGGAGATCGCTGTTATAGAAAAATCATTCAGGTGGCAATATGGGTAAAAGCAAAGATAGAGGTGAGGAACTCAAGTTAGGATCAGTTGAGCAGGTAGGTCCAGGTAGTGAGTGTCAAGTCTAAACTAGGGGTGTACCAGGGACTGGGGTGGGTGTGGGAGCTGGAAAGATGGGAGGTAGAATCTGGAAAGATGGGAGGTAGTGGCTGAGTGATGTGTTAAGAGAGTAAAAATGATGTCTGGGGTGACTGTGGGATTTCTAAATTGGAGGACTGTGAGGAGGGAGGTAGCAAAGACTGGAGAAGCAAATTGTGGGGCGGGAGGACATAATGAAATTCATCCGGGATGTGTTGAATTTGAACTGTTCACAGGACCTCAGGACAGTCTCCCATTCATTCATTCATTCATTCATTCATTTCACAAATATTTACTGAGCATATACAGGTGCCAGGGGTGCAGTGGTTGATCAGACAGATAAAATTCCTGCTCTGATGGAGCTTAACATTCAGATAGTTTGAAGGGCAGATATGGACAAGCAAGGTATGTACAGGGCTCAGGGCTCTGGGCTCTGGGCTCTGGGCTGTGAGGTGGATTTGGGCCTGTTAGAGGAAGGACAGCAGTTAAAGCTGCCAGTGCAGGTGACCTGGCCTAGGGAGACCGGGGCAGGGTGAGCCTGGAAGAGGGTGGGGTGGAATGCCAGCCTTAGAGGCAGCTCAGGAACAAGCACCAGGAAAGAAAACCACCCAGGAGAAATCAGAGGGGGTCCGAGGAATAGGATTTCAAAGATCTGTCAGCTGACGCATGCATTCATTTATTCAATCAGACTTGACTTGGCGCCTTCCCAGGGCTAGGCTCTGGGGAGTAAGAGATGCATGAGAAGTCTCTGGGGGAAGCAGATGTGTAAACCACAAATTCTTAGGCAAGGCCACGTGAAAAAGATTCTATTATGGACGTACAGACGACATGTGGGAGCACAGAGGATGGTGACACACTGTTTGATCCTACTCTGTGCTAGGCACCGGAGAAGGCTTCCTGGAGGGTGGGGGGTGGGGGTGGGGGCGGAGCTAGAGAATGGAGTGGAGGCAAGGACTCTTGACAGAGAGGGAATGGTTTGAGCAAGGTCGTGGAGGTGGGAAGCTGCTTGGCTTGCGTTCTGGCAGCCGGGCATCGCAAGCACTTTGGGACAAGGAGCCTGGAACCGGGTTAAGATCATGCCAAGAGAGTGGGCTGAATTCAGAAGGGATGGGGCCAGGGCGGGTTCTGAGTAGAAGGCCTGCCACTCGCCACTGTTCCACCTAGTGGACAGAAGCCAGAGCCCCTGGGAACGCAACTGCGGGGCTTGTCTACCCCGCCCCGCAGCGGTTAGCAGGTGTCCGCGCCCAGCAAGTGCTCACTCTGCACGCTTCACAAGTGTCACCTCCGTGCAGCCCAGCGCCTGATGGATAAGCCCTGAGTCAGAGGGTGGGCGCATGCCAAACGCGCTTTGCAGGGAGGAATGTGAGAGAGGGATATAGAATATGACAGAGGGGTTGTATCGCTCCAGGGTCTTGGGAGTGTTACTTTGGGAGAAGTGGGCAATGAACTGAGGGCAATTATCAACGATGGGGAAGGATGAATGGGGCAGAGGTGCCAGGTTCAGCCTGACGGCCTGAGCTCAGAACCACCCTCTCAGCGGGAGCCCCAGGCTGGCGGAAGGCCAGAGCCCTCTCCCTCTGCACCAAGCCAGGCCTCACCTTGCCTCTTCCTCCACTACACGTCGTCAGCCTCATCCCCCAGCCTTGGGACTCAAGGCTGCACTGAAACTTGGGGGCTGAAGTCCGGAGGGAACCCAGACTCCAGAGTTTTCTTGGTCCACACGCCCAGGGGTCCCTAAGTTCCCTGGAACCCTCCCTGATCTTCACTGAGAATCACCCCTTAGACAAAAGAACTCTGGCGCCCCCTACTGGCAGTTCTTGGTCAACAATCCAATCCCTGGCTCCCAGCGGCCGACCCTGACTCACGTGGCTTGAGCACACCTGAGGCCACTTTCAGTGGCAGGGAGGTGGTGCGGACAGAGGTCTGGCTTGTGATATTTACCTGGACTCCAGCAGCTGCCTAACTGGTTTTCCTCTCTCCCTCCTGCACCCACAGCTGGGAGAACACCTTTAAAAGCCTATTTGTGGAAATACTACTTAGCAATAGCAAGTAATGAACTCTTAATACCCACAACAACTTGAATGAATCTTAAGGGCGTTATGCTGAGTGCAGAAAGCCAGCCTCAAAAGGTTGCATATTTTATGATTCCATCTATTGTATATAGCATTCTCCAAATGATAGAATTATGGAGATGAGAGGTAGCTGGGAATTAGGGAAGGGAAGGAGGGAGTGACTATCTGAGGCAGCATAAGGGATTTCTTTATCTTCACTGAGAATCACCCCTTAGACTAAAGAACTCTGGCACCCCCTACTGACAGTTCTGGGTCAACAACCCAATCCCTGGCTCCCAGTAGCCGACCCTGACTCACGTGGCTTGAGTGATGGAACAAGTCTATCTTGATTGTGGTGGTGGTTATATAAACCTATACGTGTGATAAAATGCCATGAAATTATACACAAAGACATACAAAAAAATGAGCGCATGCAAAAAATGGTGAAATCAAGTGAGGTCTGTAGTCTAAAGAATTGTATAGTACCACTACTTTCCTGGTTTTCATAATGCACTACAGTTATGTAAGGTGTCACCACTGGGGGAGGCTAGGTGACGGGTACACGGACCTCTCTGTACTATTTATGTGGCTTCTTGTGAGTCAATGATTCTTTCAAAACAAAAAATTTATGAAAAGAAAAAAAGCAAATCTGGTTATATCATCCCCCTGCTCATCTCTACCTAGCAGCACGTGGTGGGCCGCAGAGTTAAGTTCATGAAAGGAAATCTGCCAACTTCTTTAATAAACCAAACCCTCTTCTGAGGCTGGCGACAGAAAAGCATCCCTTGGAGGGGGCAGGGTGGGGCGGGGAGTGGGTGGGAGGCGGGAAACTGGACCTGATGGTCCCGGTTCTACCTGGTAGGGCCTCGCTTGTTAATCCCGATGGGTCATCTACTGTACTGGCCCGAAGGGGGCGCTCTTCCACCTCTGATGTTCTGGCCCCAAATGGACTCAGCTGGGACTTTCGTTAGCATTGCTGGGACTCAGACCAAAGTCTTGAAAAAAGGCTACTCTGGAACGCTGGGAAACAAATCACAATCCAATATGCTGTCCTGCCCATCAGGTATTCTGGCTGCACCCTGGGGGCTCCTCCAGGACACTTGTACATCTGGCTCCCACTGGTCCCACCACAGAGGCTGTCTCACCCTAGGAACCAGGACTATCCTGGGGCCTGAGGAATGAAGACTAGAGAAATTTCACAAGTGTCCTTGCACCAGGTTCTGGGCCATGTAGATTGCACACGAGTCTCTGAGGTAAGTGTGAATGTCCTAACACTGAGCTGACACTCCCCAAGACCTCCCTGCCCAGGGATCTTCCTGCCAGTTGTCCTGATGACCAGTGGGGGCCACAGGACCCCATTCATTGTGGCCCACAAGGCCCTGCACACTCTGTCCCCTACCAGCCTCTCCAGCATCACCTTACACCCATGCCCACTGGATTTCCAGGCTCCCATCACGATGGTCTTAGATTTTGTTCTCACAAGCCTTCCTGCCTCAGAGCCTTTGTGTATGCTGTTCCCTCTAACTAGACACTCTTCCCGTAATTCCTCGCCTTGTTGACTTGTCTTCATTCTCTAGTGCTGGGCTCAAATGTGACTTCTGCAGAGGTATCTGGGGTCTATGGGGGACAGTTATACCCCAGTGACACACCTTCAGAGAACCCTGCTTCCAAGTAATCAGGTTAAACACCTTATTATATGTCCAGTTCTGCTATTAGACCTGGATGCGGGGGTCCCTGCTGAGCCATGGGTCCTCTTACTTTCTACCTTCTCTGTGGCTTCTCACAGGATGAGGAATCTGTGGGGCTCCCTTAGAGCGCAGGTCCTTCCCTTTAAACTATGCTCCTGCTATGTGGCACCCCAGAATTCCCTGCCCGAATGGCCCCAGGTTTATTCCCTCAAGGGTGGACCAGGGGGCAGCAGGTTGCAGCAGGTATGGCATTTTGCACTCGTGGACTGGAGTGTCCACATGTGTGCATCTGGAACTCTTCTTGGGGCAGGAAGATGGGAAGCTCTTTCATGTCACCATATCTGGGCACAGGAATTGGAAGAATAAAAAATGTTTACATTCAAACCTGGCCCTCCAGGTCAGTACGAAAGTGTATTTGTCAGAGTAGGAGAATAGAACATATTTTATTGAACAGTTGTTAGCTTGATGTATAACTTTACAGTATTTCAATGTATGAGGCCTCCATTTGTACTCTTGCCCCAGCCCTGCTGGCATTAGGGGTGGGCTTGGGTCAGCCTGACCCACTCACTGGACCATAAGCTCCACCAGGGAGGCATGTGCAATACCCTTGCCTGACAGCACACCCCCTGGAAGATGCCCTCCAAGTAGCTGAAGTCAGTATATAGGTAAATCCCTCAGGGCTGCTGGCTGCCCGAGTATATGTTGGGAGGGGAGTGCCTGAGGGTGAGAGGGGTGCTGGCTGTCAGGGGGTTGGGAGTGGTGAGGCTGCATTTACGCAAGACCAGTGGTGAGGGGGTGGGGGTAAGGTCTGGAGTCAGGTCACCGGGGCGCTGGGAAAGGTGAGGACTCTGAAGCAGGACAGTCTCAAGGCAACCAGGGGTTTGGGTTCATTGCAAAGGCTGCTGGCCCATCGCCTCCGCCCCTCCGCCCCTTCGCTGCCCTCTTGGCCCCTGAGCCCAAACTCACCAAGGGGAGCGGGGAACAGAGCGGGGTTACTTCCGACTGTAGCAGGTCCCCAAATTCCACTGTGGCATCCAGGCTAAAGACAGCAGAGAGCCGCGACTCACACCGGCAAGTCCGGTCGGTTTCTGGCCCCGCCCTCGGTCCACGGAGCCAATTGCGGAGCCCAAATTAGCTCTGGAGGCGGGGCCATTGCTCCCGGGTGCTCCAGGCTTCCCAGTACCGGAACAGGTGCATGGTCTTGGGAGGCTCAGGACCCCGTTACCCTAGCATGACACCGTTACACCCGTTACCAGAGAGTCGTGGCCACTGCTGTCCGACGGAATGCATCGTCACTGCCCGCTTTCCTCAGGGTCACTCGATGCAGGTCCAGGGGGACGTTGGTGGTGGCTACAAGACTGGCTGGGGAACAGGCCAGTTCGTGGAAGCAAGCTCCACTGATCTCTGCCGGGGGTGGGGTGCGGGGGGTTCTGTGTTCCATCAGCCTTTCTGGGAAGGTCAATGTCTCAGTGCCTGTTTGCACTTATATTGTAAAATCAGCTGTTGGGGTGTGGCCCCCCACTTTGTGGGGGCTGCTGCCTCTTCAGTGATTCTTCAGGAGTGAAAACAGCCCCGTCTCAATTTTAGGCCAGATGAAACTGCTGAGTGCCTTCACTACCGTCAATGGTGGAGCAGGAAGATTAGAAATAAAACTTGGTAAAATATGAGAACCTCCGTCCTAACCTAGGCGATCATTGGTCAGGGATTGAACGTTGGTGGAAAACAGAAGCTCCTACTGTTTGCCAGGTGGGAACTGTGATGTGTCCTTACCAGCCTTGTGGAAGGTAGGTGCCATTGCTGTGCCCATAGTTCAGATAAGAAAACAGGCTTGACAGCAGTTAAGTTACTTGAGGGCCCAAGGCCACACAACTAATAAATGGTAGAAGCAGATTTGTCACCCAGCT